ATTGTCTCCCTAAGGAAAGGGAGAGAAATGCTCAGTAGGAATACAATTCTGGAGGGCACTTAAATGATTTTCGTCTAATGTTTAATTCCATAGGATCTTTTTGTCTTAAGATTCTCTCTTGTTAATTCATCAAAATAGTAAACGTATATCAGGACAGGAGAACCCCAAAATTAATGGAGACTCCATAACTCCAGTCATATGAGAAGTGGGAAATGTACCAAAACTCCTTAAGAGCTTGCTAGCCTGTCTGCTGTCAGAATATTTTGGTGTACTTTTCATTCTAATGCTTTAGCAGAAGTACACTGTGTGTCATAGGACAGCGGATTGAAGATTTCTAAAGTGTTTGTTACTCCCCCAAATGGTTTACTCAAATAAAACAAGCTAGAAAATGAACAACCATCAGGTGTTTTCAAGGTATCCAGTGCACGCTATTAATGTATTAATATAGTCTCTCTGCGCAATGTCTGTAGAAATTACTGGGAATTTTGCTATTGATTTTAGAGGCAGAAGGATTGGGCCTTGTGTTACTATATTAATCATTTGGTAAATATTTCTCTAAAAGGTAGGAATATAGAAATTTCCAGGGGCAGACTGATGGTCTAACATCCTGTTTTCAACAGTGGTCAATTCCCAGGGCCCCACAGGAAGGCAAATCCCCTCCTTTCCTTCCCCCCATGTCTAGTGTCAGTTGGGTCACAGGAGATTACTGTCAGTCTCTCTCTGATCGTTGCTAGCCATGGGGTAAACCTGATTGATAGCTCTGGTTGATTTCATGCTAGCTAGCTCACCATTTTGTCTGACCCAAACATCATCTTGTACACATATCTCTCTGTATCTCTTCCTTCAATGCTAGTAACTTTGTTCAGTGACCTGCGGCAGCAATGGATCTCCAGGTTAATTATAAAAAGCAATAAGATATTTCCTTTGTACTACTTTAATTCTATTAACCCACATTAATATCCAGAGCACCTCCGTTTACTTCTCAGTCATTATCAGACAGATGCTAGTAAAAATGAGAGCAGAAGTAGGGCAATTAATTGTCTTTTAGTGATTTTTTGTGTCTTTCTGTTCTTGTTCTGCAGCAGGGAGAATAGGTGTTCCAGACAGGTGTGTTCTAGGAATTCATTACTATCCATACCCCTCTTAATATCTGCTTTCTCTGCTTACATTAGAATAGTGCAGTTCTAAAATCAGCAAGATTAAGTTGTACTAGCTAAAAGACATTGTTAATCAACTGTCATGCATGTGACTGTGTATGTGTGCATTTAAAAAAAGCTTTGTGAGTTATACTTAAAGCTAATGGGAAAACAACACCCCTTGCAGAAGCTGCGTTTTGGAATAAATACAGCAGCCCTACAGTGCTCGCTTTCCATGCTGAAATACTCATGCAAAAAACAAACCTGCAACAGGGAAGAATTTAAATACGTCTCTTGAGATACGCCATTTCTGTTTCCCCCTGCCAGGTGAAGATGAGATTCTGCCCAAGCAAGCAGGGATATGTGCACTATTAGGCCAACTCAAGGAGGCCCTAATAGAATCCCATGTGTTACTCAGTCCAGCCACTCCAGCAGATTTTCAAGCTTTCAGGTAACTCCTCTCAAAGATATCCAGAGGTGGGAATGGTGCTTTATTGACCTATAATAAATAAACTTCTTTAAGAAGTAATCTGGGTATGCCAGAAGTGCAGCAAAATGCCTAAGCATGGTGAAGGTATGAGAAAGAATAGCAGTTGATCGTTCAGGGAAATTCCATTTTCAAGTTAATGCTAATGACACCTTTTAGAAAT